CACACACACACACACACACACACACACACACACCACACACACACAAACACACACACACTCACACACAATGTGCGCCCATATGTGTGTACAGAGAGAGAAAACTCGTAACCCCAAGACTGAGGACGGAGCAGCTAAACGTAGAGATACTAGGCCGCTTTTCCCTTCACATTCCTTATACCTCCATGCACGCCGCAACCCCGAGAAAGCCTCTGTCTACTTTCTCTCTATCCTGACGAGCTGGCCGCTGATTGGTCCGTCGTCCGCATACCATATACCTCCCTAAGAGAAGGGGTTCTGTCGATCCGAGCAGTGCGTGCGAGGTGGAAGAAAAGTTGCGAAAACTGTCATGGCGGACTTTTCAGCCAACCGACGGTCTCCATTCCGAAAAATTCGCAAACGGAGAGCGGTGGTTGGCTGAAAAGTCCGCCATGACAGTTTTGGCTCCTATTTTTCGTACGCTTCGCCTCGCTCTGTCTCCCTCAGTATAAAAGGTGCTGGCGTCGCGCTGAACAGGCAGTTCTCAGTTCTCACAAATTAATCAGTCATCATGTCTGGTAGAGAGAGAGAGACCCGCTGTCCCTCTGTGTGTTGCCGCGTGTCCACTCGTGTGCTCCTTTGTGCGCTGTCGTGTGTCCCTTCCTCCGTGTGGTCAGTCGTGATATGGATATTGGTAGGGTAAGTTGATATTTTCTTGCTCCGGTGGGATGTGTTGCGTTGCGTTGCGTTGTGATTGATGTGTTGTAGCAGTGATTTGTTATTGATGACGATGTGATTGGAATACTAATAGTGATGAGATATCGATTGTGTTGTGTCGGTGACATAATATGACTTTTAGAGCACAGTTTGGAGTATCATTGAGTTCCTTTCAGAATACGGATTATGTATCTAGCTGAACACTAGCTGTTAACGATCATTCTTCGCTTATGTCGTGCATGTGACTGCTAGTCTCTTATTGAGTTTGTTTTAGGTAAGTAGTTTACGACGCTCGCTGTTTGTGAGTGCAAGTGTACAATTATATCATTATGTTTATGTGTAGAGGAGAGGATGTGTGACAGTGTGTTTGTGTGTGTGTGTGTTTGTGTGTGTGCGTGTGTGTGCGTGCGTGTGTGTACGTGTGTGTGTGTGTGTGTGTGTGTGTGTGTGTGTGTGTGTGTGTGTGTGCATTTGTGTGAGGAGCTCTGTTTGTGTACTGATTGATTGATTGATTGTTGTTGTTGTTGGTCACACCTCCCCGCGTAATCAAACTTAGAGCGGCAAGTCGTGGGCAGAGAACAAAGAGAGAGAGAGACCCGCTGTCCCTCTGTGTGTTGCCGCGTGTCCACTCGTGTGCTCCTTTGTGCGCTGTCGTGTGTCCCTTCCTCCGTGTGGTCAGTCGTGATATGGATATTGGTAGGGTAAGTTGATATTTTCTTGCTCCTTTGGGATGTGTTGCGTTGCGTTGTGATTGATGTGTTGTAGCAGTGATTTGTTATTGATGACGATGTGATTGGAATACTAATAGTGATGTGATATCGATTGTGTTGTGTCGGTGACATAATATGACTTTTAGAGCACAGTTTGGAGTATCATTGAGTTCCTTTCAGAATACGGATTATGTATCTAGCTGAACACTAGCTGTTAACGATCATTCTTCGCTTATGTCGTGCATGTGACTGCTAGTCTCTTATTGAGTATGTTTTAGGTAAGTAGTTTACGACGCTCGCTGTTTGTGAGTGCAAGTGTACAATTATATCATTATGTTTATGTGTAGAGGAGAGGATGTGTGACAGTGTGTTTGTGTGTGTGTGTGTTTGTGTGTGTGCGTGTGTGTGCGTGCGTGTGTGTACGTGTGTGTGTGTGTGTGTGTGTGTGTGTGTGTGTGTGTGTGTGTGTGTGTCAGTATCTCTGTGTGTGTATTCCAGTGTGGGGCTGTATTTGCGGTAACTGATGGGCTTCTGCAAGTTCAAAAGCACCATAATAATTAATCATAGTTTTCAAGAAAGCGTGCTGTATTGTTCTATAAATAGTCCCACGTATCCTTCACTCACCTGCACCGTGCGTGCCTGGAGAATGTCCCCGTCATCGATGCCCGGTTCCACCACGTGCCACGTCACGCCGTGGTGATCTTCACCATGGATCAACGCCCAGCACGTGGAGTTCACGCCTGGAATAAAAAGACGTGGAAATTGGGTAATGGTAAAGTCTGCGCCTTTACTCACATATTGGTTATTACGGCCAGCTTTCCGAATGTCTGTTCCTGTAAGATATAGCACAGACGCCACAAAATAATATCTACAAAATATCTAGTACGGTGTCAGGCTTATTTGATACAAAAAGACAACCTGCCAAGTTAATATATGAAGTGATTGATAGATAGATAGATAGATAGATAGACAGACAGACAGACAGACAGACAGACAGACAGACAGACAGACAGACAGACAGACACACAGACAGACAGACAGACAGACACACAGATAGCTAGCTAGCTAGTTCGATAGATAGATAGATGGTAGTAGATTAAAAGTTGAAGGGGTCAACCAATTGTCTATAACCTAGACAGCACAATATCAACATGCACTATAGTATACCTAAAGGAGAACTCGCGAACACACAAACACACATACACACACACACACACACACACACACACACACACACACACACACACACACA